CATATACTATGCATGGAATGTAGCGTAATTCGTGGTCGTGCACTTTTGCTGCAGCCCACTCTTATCGGGCCGTGACCCATTCACACAGCCTTCTCTTGCGTGCGGTGAACGTCATTAGTACACACTACGAGAATATTCCAAATGACGCATGCACGATTTTGCAAGGGGATTCACACCTGTATAAACGAGGAATTCACTTTGTCAAAGATAGGGGTTAGCGAGGGAGGATGGGTGAGCCGCAAACGGACCACCAGGAACGCTTCACAACACGCTATACCCGCTACAATTCGCCGCAGAAAGCCTGCACGGATAGTACAGTGTAGTTCAGAACACCCGCGCCGTGGTACGGGCGGCTAACGAGGCGTTACAGGCAGGTATTCATTCGCGATCGGGGGCCGCCAAGGCAACTCACGATATTTCCGAAGTGCGTCGAGCTGGCTAGCTAGGGAATCTTCCATAGCTCACGCGCTTGGCACGTCCTGAACTTCACCTCATGAATATACCTGAACGCGGGGTTGTGCTTCGGATGCTGGAGTGTCGGTGACATCCGCAGGACTCGTGGTTCCTGACAAAAAAAACCGAATAGTCGCTTGGGGCAGAGGTGGTGTAGTAACAACTAGCCGCTAACCATTGGCGCGGTCCTGGTCTCAAATCCCGGGTCCACTCCCGCCCCAGGCCAACCAATTCCTTCTACCCTCCGAGAACGGTCAACTGGTACCATATTCGGGAGAACAAGAACACTGACTTGTACATCGGCTGGCCACCGCAAGTCATTGTATAGGCCACATCGCATTCAATAACCCACTACGATTCTGAATGGAAGTAGAATGCGTGCCGCATCCTGCAGAGGCATGTCAACAGCGGAAACTTCACTCTTTACCCCTTCATTGGAACTCTATAGTGATTTTCATAATTGAGGGGCTGGGAGAGAAAGCGCCCGCGAATAGGCAGCAATTTTTTTACGAAGGGCAGAGAAGGCATGGGACGGGTGAGAGCTCTCGCTTTGCCGTCTCGTCCACCACGGTTTGACGGGTGCATGTCGTTGTTCGTGAGCCGCGGCGAAGGCGGCCTCGCGAGCGGGGCCTATGCTAATTTATTTATTCAGTAGTACATTCAAGAGTGCGCTTTGAAAAACCGGCATGCTAATTGTACCCAGGGTCGTGCTTAGGGTAATGTGCTCAGTTTTCGTGATAATTTGGTTCTGTTGTTCATTTATACGACATTAGAACCAAGTGTGGAGCAGATGAAACACGGCGTTTCCATCAATATTCGTCGGCTCTCACTGCGGTACCTGCTAGGCAGTAAGAGTACAAAGTTCGTGAAGTGTATGGCCAGGGCTGTTTCGCCCAGTGCGGCTCAAACTCTGCTTAGGCGAATCAAAGATGAGAGTTTCAACCCAGAATATGCAGTTCCCTTTGAAGGCAGTTGGCACGATGGTTTCCTACTTAGCCTAAAATGCTAGTAGGGCGCTGTATAGTGGGGAAATGGCGAAAGAACGGAGTGAAACGGTCAAAATCCTGCGAAGAAAAAAGCCTCCGTTCTCAGTGACTTGTAAATCGATTTCGGACGAGTTTCCCGTGCACCGCTACCGAAGATACGGCTGCATATGTGTACCCATATATGCATGCAGCATCACGGCCGCTTCATACCAATCCCTTCGCTTCATAATTTGCTTAGCAAATGAATGAATACGAGCGTCAGGAACGGTCGTCCATTTGTGGGCGGGCGGGCGTGGCGGGCGTTTGGGACGTAAAGTTGTGGCTTGATAGGGCCCTTATAAGGGCACCTTCCTCGGGGAAACCGCTATGCAGCGCCTGCCCAGGGTCGCGGAATTCTATCCTGCCAGGAGTATTGATCCTAGTCGCCTTGGGGGATTTATCGTGCCAACTGCCTTTAAGTCATGCAGAACTCATGCACCAAGTTCCTGAAGCACTTCCATCAATAACTACTGGCGTCATATGAGAGCCTCAAAGCATTCCATCATCTTTTATGATTCCCCACTGCTTTGCGCAGGTTCTCATGAATAAGCTGGTTTAAGCTCTTCAGCCAAATCGAAAGGGCGTCCGGCGCGATGGAGCTCTGCAAGGTGAGCACTGAAGTCTTTGATTTGTTCAATCACATGATTTTAAGCCATGTCGTCACCAAAGGCGTCGAAAATGTCCATTTTGTCGACTTGACGCTCCCTTTTTGTCAATTGAAAGTTAACAGAAAGAGGATCTTTATTAGGCTATGCACATATCCCGAAGGGAAAGGAATCTCTATCGAACAGATCAGACCACGATGGCAGAACGTTTCATCTTTGACGCGAAATCTTTGGATGGAAAAATACATCTTCAAAAATAAATACACCTGTTGGGGACTCAATATTAGAGGGCGCAGTACAGCTTTTACGGTATCCCAGATGTTCGTGACAGTTTTGGAATCTGGTACCACATTTCTCTGCTGCGATTTAGAAGTCCATTCATGAACCTAACCTGCAGTGGGGATACGCAAAAAAGACAACAGTCCATTCACCGGCCTCTCTTTTCTTACCAGAAAAGGTGTATTAAAGCAACGTCTCCGTCATGCTCTTACGATTCTGAAATTTCACGGGTCTAAACTGAGTTACAGTATGGTCGAAGACGGACGCAACATCTTCGATGACTTAGGTCCTGACGCTATCATCCATGGTAAAATATTTGCCGTATAGTGGCTTTTTGAATGCGATGTGCCCCGTCTAATGGCTTACGGGGGCCAGCCTAAGTACATAGTCAGTGTTTTTATCCTCTCAGACGAATATGGTACCAGTTTACCACACCTCAGGGGAGAGGGGGGGGGGTTGAGGCTTTCTTGGTCTGGGCGGGAATCGACCCGCCTCGCCTCAATCAACCCTTTCCTTCTCTGGGCGAAGTCCCTGAAACCAGACATCTTTTCAACATTAATGATGAAGAAAACAATAAAAAACCACATTTATCTTCGTTGGAAAATCCATAACACACTCATGTCAGAGGAAAGGAAGGCATGCAGTTAAGGTGCTGATGTGTATAGGGCAGGAGAGGCCAAGTGGTTGAGGGATGTGAGAGCACTCACCATCTAGCCATTTATTCCACTTATTTTTTATTTATGTGTTCCAGCGGATCAAAGTGAAGAACGTCGAGCGATGGGAACCAAGTGTACGTGAAAAGGAACTGTTACGTCGAACGTGGAGTGATGACTTCGATTTCCTCTACGACCTTGGCTCAACCATTTATTGCTATATATTCGAGCATAATCCGAACTGTAAACAACTATTTCCGCAACTTACCAAATATGGTGATAATTTCAAGGAATCACGTGAATTTCGAACGCAAGCACTCAAGTTCGTGCAGGTAAAGATCCAACTATTATTCTTTTTCTCATAATTTCTTTTTCTTTGTTAAACCAACGCTTCAGCTCATTTCTAATAGTAAGCGAGGGTATGCGGTCGGGTTAAGCTGCCATCGGGTCTCGAGCATGAGCAACCCAGTCGCGCGATTCGATAAATGCCAGACTGTGATGGTCGCGCTCCACCGCTAATCGTTGGACCATTGGTAATTGCAGCAGCATTGCAGCTACCAAAAATTACCCATTGGCGTAGTCGGACGCAGATGCGCGACTGAACCGCTCGAATCGTGAAGTTTGAACGCGACTTCCCCAAATTCTGCATCAATTTCGGGTCACGTCACAGATCGGAACCATGTTGCTTTGATTTCGTGACAACTAGCATGATTTGAAGAGACATTCGCTCAGTAATTCTGGTGCCCGCTTTCGTATTGCTCACGTATTCCTCAGGACCGGTTATATGCAGTCTAAATGAGCTATTACCAGAGACGAAGGGCGCACTAATTGAAGGACTGCGCAATTCTTCAAACTTCCGCCTTTCTATTTTTACCCATTTTTCTTTTTGCCCTTCTTGTTAATTCCTGAAAAAAAATGGTTCTAGTGAATTCAATTTCACTGCCTCGACTTCCCACTGAAGAATAATTGAGAAGATTTCTATCTGTTTTGTGCACTTCCAACTTGCCAGTTCTAAGAGAGAGTATTGCCAAGGGAACTTCTGCAAACTTTGCCACTATTTTTTGTTCCAAATTTTCTCGTCCCTCCTATGCCCAAACTCCTGGTTTGGAAAGATTTCTTCTCCTTTTTCTGCTGATGGCCCGTTACAAATATTATATACGGTCGGTCCGGTAATTAAGGCCTTTTTGTGGTCAGTCTCACAGGTATGTCACTGTGTTACTGGTGTATGCGACTTCCTGAATGAAATCTGTGGATTAAGTGCTACTGAGGTATTGTTAGCCTCAATCCTGCCTTCAGATTGGCTGGCCAGGGCTCCCACGCGCGTAGAGCGATCCTCCCGCCTTGATTGGGTCTAGCTCTTAAGAAGTCCAAGCGCATCATCAAGGCTGCGGTCCTCCTCGACGAGTGGAACTGCAGCCTTTATGAGGAGTTTTTCCTTCTTCTGCACAGAGCACATCATCGAGTTGTCAAAGGCGGCTGTCAGCACAACGTCCTCCTGAAAATAACGTCTCAGTATTATCCCCTAACTTATGAGGGCAGCCGTTTAGTTTCCATGCCATGTATAGCCCATGTGTTGAATCATGTGACAGACAGAGAATTCCACATATCCACTGTCTAGTTGTCCAACACTCAGACATGGAAGAAGGCCAACATTCAGAAGCTCAGAAAGAGGGCATGAGGTCGAGAGGAGACGGGAGACGGTACCATGTCTATTCCATAGATGGAGGGAGCGTAGCTGCGTGCTTCGCTTCATTCAGTGGTTTTTGCGCTTCTGGTGGGGTATTGCTATTTATGGAAACTGTAAGCGAGTCTTTATCCAGCACAAGACAAGATGACACCCGCTCAAATGAAATACACAATACGGTTTGTGTACGGAACAAGTAACCTTGAAGACAATGTGCAGGATGACTGGGGGGGGGTTGTTGGTTGCCAGTGTGATAGGTGGAAGAGCGTCCTTTCACCAATAACATTGGCAGCAACCTTCGCCTCCAACCACTGTGGTACCTTTAAGTTGTTAGCGGACTTCTGCTGAGACGTATAAACGACGTGAAGAAGTTAAAGGCAGTTGGCACGATAAATCGCTATACAGATGTAGGATTTATACGACTGGCTTAACAGAATTCCGTGACCTCGGACAGGCGCTCCGTGGCCCTTTTCCAAGGAGGGTACCCTATAGCCTATCGAGCAACAATTCGTCCAAAACGCTTCCTCGCCGCCCGCCACAAACGGAGAACTTCTTGAGCTCGTTTTTACAGTCTATTTGGCTGAGCAAGTTATGAAGAGGGATTGGTATGAAGCGGCGTGATGCTGCATGCAATATGGGTACACATAGCGCCTATCTTCGGTAGCGGTGATTGGCAAGATGCGTACGGGAAACTCGTCCGAAATCGATTTACAAGTCACTGAGAACGGAGGCTTTTTCTTCGCCGGATTTTGACCGTTTCACTCCGTTCTTTCGCCATTTCCCCACTAACATAAGCGCTACTAGTATTTCAGGCCGAGTGGGAAACCATCGTGCCAACTGCCTTTAAGCAAACATTTGTAACGGCTGCGTGAACCTTCTATACCATAAACCTCAGTTAGAAAAGAGGTCCAGTTGAAGTTACGGTAGCTTCCTGTTGTACGTAACTTGCACGGGTGACACGAAGTACACTCAAAATCCCTGACAATGAGATGCGGTAGGCATGGCTGCGTACTTCAACTAAACGTGGCACTGACTGTGCTTTTGGTGAAATGTTCTTCATTTTGATACAATTGTGGTCATGACTCCCTCCAACACGGACCAAAATGACAGTTGTCTCGCATTGAAACATCCCACGAGTGATCCATCCTACGCCATGTCCGAATGCCACGCCTACCCCGTCTCAGGAATGAGGAGTGTATCTCTACGGAGCACCGTGAAATGGAAGATTCTATTATTCGGACTTGCACTCACAATCAGCCCGCGCCCGTTGGACAATGAAACGTGCGGTTTTGCAAAATAGGCCAGCAATTGCGGAGGTACCCTTTCTTTAGACGGCAATTATTTTCTTCGCAGTAGAGCTTGAGGGAGCGGGGAGCAGGCTCGCAAAGCATTGAGTCCGTTCTTGCCAAGATGGTCTGAACAATCACAAGTGTTCTCTGTTTGAGTTATATCAGCGTTGTGAAATCGTTGTGGGAAATATAGCGCTACATGAGAGTTTTCATGCTTTGAACAACAATAGTCTTTTTCTTGGATGACCAAGGGTGAAATTAGAATCAGAAATATGGAGACTCCCCTCTAGTACCTCTTTTTTTCCGCAGAGAACCATCCGTACACTTCCACAAACTTCATTGCCGTTAACATGACGTGGTACTTTGCTCCAGCTCGCCCCGCTCCAATCTGCTTTCTGTGGAGTCGTTTTTGCATTGTGAGAGCCGAGCGTCACCTCGCGAACGGGCGACACTGAGACATTTTTGACATTACTTCGCGCAGCCAAGGCCATTCTGCTGAGGAGGCTCTCAAAGATATCGGCATTGGCTTCCTGTTGTACTCGAGCTGTTCCTAAAACAGGACACCTTGCCACTTTTGGGAAAGCGGAGCACAGTCCTCGGGGTAGGAACCCATCTGAACACTGGGCAAGCATGGTGAAGTTGACTCCCTCAGCTCTTACCGCCTTGGACGAAACAGATGTATCATAATGTCACTGCCTGTTAAGGGCTTGGGTTCAGTAAGGCGCTGGCCTGCCCACCGCCCTACTTGCACCGGTCTCCACTTTTGTCCGCAACCCACATTTGAGAGAAGGGCGTTGATGTAC